TTTGCCTTCTTTGATTTTTAACACAAAGAACCTGTTAGAGATATTATCGGAATGTAATTCTTCTTTGAAGCTATTAGGGCGATTTTAAAATTGCTCTCTGTGTTTAATAGGGCGAAACTTGCACCTAAGAGGTTGATTTTATTGTAGTGCACGGCACACGTACTACAAGTGGGACTCAGAATGCTGCATCTGTTCCTTGTTTTGTGATAGCATACGTAGTTGAGGCCAAATCACTCAAGACTAGAAGACTAGCTAATAGATTAGTGGATTGTGGCTCGATCACTTCCCAACTGATTTTGATTGGAATCATGAATGGGCTAGTTGCTCAATTGGTACATCGTATCGTGGTATACTCGCTGAAGGTGTCGCAGGCACGGGTAAGCTACTCGACATTGGTTGGTTTTGCTTTTGGTGGTACGTTAGAGGTGGTAAGCACGGTTGGTTTGAAAAAGATATAGCCAAGAGTCATTGTATTGATTAGTACAACTCACTCTGTCTCATAATATAGTTCTTGTCTGTATTTTCTCACGGTATTTAAGAAATATGAGAAGAAAATAGATAACGTATATATAATAAAAGTGAAAAGCACAATCCCATACAAAAGTTAGAGAGAAAAAAGAAGGGGAAAAAGTACATTGTATATGCAAAATTCAAGGGTAAATCAAGAACTACATACGATGAATAAAGTTAATAAAGTGAGGCTATAACAGTTTTTACATACTATTGAAAAATAGAAACATGAACAACATTTTAGTTCTCCAAAATAGAAAAACAGGAACTATATTATGGGACGGAGGGAGGAGGAAATACAAGTTGATATCAGATATCAACAAAACTTGTTAATATCAAGGTTAATTTTGTAATTTAGCTACCACACTAAGGGTAATTTTGTAATTTTAGCAACCACACCCCTTTCTCTCCCCTCTATCTCCACCGTGCAACCTCTACTACCACCCACATCACCACCTTTACCTTCACGAATCGACCCCAGCCGACCACCAATCGACCCCAGCCGACCACCACACGGCCATCGCACCAACATTCGACCGCCGCAACACCACTACTCCACTAGCTACCACCCACAACACCACCTTTAGCTTCACTAGCCTCCACCTTCGCGAATCGTCCCCAACCGACCACCACAGGCTGCTGCACCAACATTCGACCGCCGCAACACCACTAGTACGAGCAAATCCCTTTCCCTAAAGGGTTTGTATGGCCCCAATTTTCATAAATTGCTACTAGGGTGTCGTTTTTTGGCCGACCGCTTTAGATCCGCTAATGTCATCGACCTTGGGCATGGGAATGGAAGAGAGAGAAGGAAGCAGTGGCCATGGGAATGGAGGAGAGAGAAAGAAAAATTGGTCATGTGAGGGGAGGAGAGAGAAAAATTTGTGATATTAACAAATTTTTGTTGATATCGGTTATCAACTAGGTTTGGCTCCGGAGGGAGTATAACACTATAATAATGGAATGAAAAACAAAGAAAATAAATTAATTAATTAATAAAGATCGAATACCATTTTGTGCTATACTAATTACTAAGGGTCTGTGTTTTTCAAAAAATAAAATAAAATAATAATAAATAAATAAATTATTAAGGATCTGTTCTGTTCAACTTAATTTCAGGTTCAGTTTAGTTCAGCTCCAAGCCTCCAATCATTTCAATCCAGTTCCTAATTTTCTTCTCTCATAAACCATTCCTTTCATCTATGTTCAGTTCAGTTCAGCCTTAATCAGTTTAATTCAATTCAGTTGTTTTCAATAAATCGGAACAAGTCCTAAAGTGGGATGAGGGAAGTGATATTATACTAAACGCTCTTGACCTTCAGTATTTATCTTATAGGACACAATATACATTTATCATTCTTACCAGATTGTTTCAAATAAAATCAAAAAATGTGGATAGTTATTCTAGTGAAGAAAATTTGTCAACTAAAATTTGTGTTTACAGAGCTCATAATTGTCGAGTTTATTGTCAAAATTATTGACAACATTATCATTTTACGCCTAACAAGAATTTTCAAAATTTTCCTTATGTTGGCTTTTTTGGCAGACATGCTATTTCATAATCGCAAAAACAGTTAGATTGGGTGATATATATTTGGCGTGTTCGACGCTAGCATTTGAGTAGCTTTTAGGTAGCTTTTAGTGGTTTGACTTGGTCAAATCACTACTTAACAAAAAAATGATGATATGTATTTTGCTATCTAATCTTCTGGAAGAACGAAAGGATTGGGAAGGATATGGGCGAGTCTATATTTGTTAAGATATATTTAAGAAAGATTGATGTTAACGTATACTAGTATTAATTGAATTTTATTGGCATATTCTTAGTATTCTATACTATTGTAGAGATAGCGATGTATGTTAAGTTTCCTAGTGTGTAGGTGAGGGTTAAGTAAACTGACATTGACTATAGATTTTGAAGCTTTGTGATAAATGATAGGTTGATCATTTGAGATTTTGAAATTATTTGTCATTGAGATTAATTAGTCAAGTTTGGATGCGAAAGAAGTAGAAATTGTTTTATACACCCGGGTGTACGGTGCACCCAAGTGTATTTATTGCTCATTTTATCATCAAATGAACAAACATATATCCTTTGGTATACCGTACACCCTGATGTATAAAACAATCTCTCCGAAAAAGTGGACTTTATAGGTATAATGTTTCTTCACGTACTGCTTGATCAAAATTTAAACCTCGAGACAATACTTGTACAAGGAGGAATTGTTGTCCCTTTAAACTTAGTGTAAGGAGGTGAACAGGTTCGAGAAATTGGAAATTATTGGTTTAGCATGAATAAATGTAATAACATTCACCCAAAGGAAATGTAAGCAATGACATAGATCAATTCCAAATTTAAAATTGAGCTCAATACAAAAGAAATTGAAAAAGTTGCTTATTTTGGTCTTAAAGTTGAATAAATTGTATTCTTACACATTGTTTGGATTGAGAGAATTGAAGGGAAAGGAAGAAAGGAGAAAAGGAGAAAAGAAGGGATTCATCCTCTCTTCTTTAGATATCTTTTGATAGGAAGGAACGGAAGAGAAGTAGAAGCATTTATTTTTCTTTCCAGTTTAATAAACCAAATCATTCCAGTGTTTATTAAGGAGGGACGAAAATGTAACCTTACAAGTCCTTCTCCCTCCCCTTCCAGGCTTTCATTCCTCCTACTTCCTTCTTCTTTCCATTTACTTTCTCTTCCACATTGCTATCCAAGCAAATTAATCGTTAAGGTTAAAAAGGGTATTTTGGTGTTTTATTATTTTTATATCAGGTATTTGGTACTGATGTGTTGAAGCTTAAAGGTTTTGATGATGATGGACTTAAACTAAAGCGAACTCAACTAATAAAGGTTGATAAGTGTTTGATTATTATAGGTGAAATAGATCTTGGTGATGGAAGAGTAGCTCAAGCTAATAAGACATGAAGAAGCCTTTATAGAAAAAAATTAAGCAAAGAAGAAGAAGAAGAGTTCTCTAACAAGAACTAAGTTCCCTAACAGAAACTTGAAGACAGCAAGCTGAGGTGTCAGTTTGGTCTGTGATTAGATAGTAAGTTCTTGTTAGAACTTAGCCTGCGTGAAGCCCAAGTAATCTATCTATATAGAAGAACGGCGCAGCAACTCATTCTAGTTAAGATTTTATCTTTTAGATGTGTTGTTAAATATGTTAAGTAGGGTGTGCATGAAATCTATTAGAAGCTTGACAAGTTGCTTGGTAAATAATCTATTAAACGGAAAAGATAAAAAGATAGATTTTAAGAAAAGATTTTCTATAAGTTTTATTTCTTAAAATCAGTTTATCAAAAAGATATTATTCTTTTTAAATATATCTTTCTTTATCTTTTTCGAAAGGATTTTCTTCTAAACTAATTTACTTAAAACTGTGTATTTGAGATTAGGAAAATTAACATCTTTATCTTTTTGAAAACTCTACTAGGTATATGAGTCATTCTTGTATAAATAGTAGAGAATCCCAATTTACTAGTTTTTGTGAGTTTATGAGTGGAGAAATCACTGAGCTTAAATTGTGTAAGTTTGCCAAGCTTATACCCTTGTCATATTAGTTTTGGGTTTTGTGCATAGCTTGCCTAACATATACTAGGTGTCTTATACTTTGTAGTGGTTGGGTTATTTGGGTGTTTGTGTATTTTTATTATTGCATACAGTTGTGTAAGCTTCTAGTGTGAAGCTGTGAGTAGTACTTTGGGAGTACGAGAGAATCTAAGTGTGGGACTTAGATTGCGTAGGATAGGGTCTTACTGTGTAGCAAGTTCGTTATGAAACTTGTGAGTAAAGGTCTGTTTATAATAATAGGTTGTAACTTGGTGTTTGCCCTATTATAGTGAAGTGGTTTTGGTGTTTGAAATCCCTTAAATAGGGTCGAGGTTTTACTTTCAGTTGGAAAGATTTCCTCGTAAAATTTTGTGTGCCTTTGCAAATTCCTATATGCATTGTTTTATATTCTGCAAAAGTAGTTACTAAGAACTCACATACAATTCACCCCCCTCTTGTAGTGTTCGTCTCAACTAACATGATGAATTTCTATATTTAGGTTATTTTAGATGCAGTCATGTAGTTGGTACTGTTAAGATAAGTGTAAATATTTTTGTATATTTCGGTTACCTTATATTTAGCCGTAGGAATATTTCCTTTCCTTGTTTATAGCTAGATTAGAGGCATAATCTTATCCTAGTCTCTGTATATATTTGCAAAGCATATCAATGTTATACTCACTGAATATAATTCTTTCATGGTATCAGTTAGCTAGGGTTATGCTTTAAATTTAATTCGAAGAAAAAAAAAAAACAATTGACAAGTAAAAGTCAATAACAGCACAGTAAATCTAAAGTCTATACGAGGAGGTAAATTCTTACTCGTAGCCGTTACTATCAGATTAGACTTTTTACGTCAACCATCTTTGTTGTAGGAAATGTAGATATAAAATGTAATAAAACTGTGAAAGCAATGCCATGACTTGTCAACTCCACTCGAACGGGAGAATACTATGAATTTTATGAAAGAATTAATATGAAGACAAGGAAAGGCAATTGAGTTTATGGGCTCATGTTTGAATGGGCATGTAATATAAGAATTAATATCAAGACAAGGAAAGGCAACTCCACTTGCCAATTAAGACTTAAGGGCTCATGTTTAAATGGGCATGTAAGACTTAGTATCAAGACAAGGAAAGGCAGTTAACGTTGGTTTTGGTTTTAGAGGGTGAGCACAATTATGGCTGTTGTTGAGGAGAAGGAAATGCCAACAACAGGTGATGTGGAGATTTCGGAGGTGACAAACTATGCAAATCAGGCTGGTGTTGAGGATGAACAGCAAAGTATAGTTGTTACAGAAGCTCTGGAGTTGGAGCAGCGCACAATCAGCTGCATGGATCAAGCTGTTGTTGATGTCCTTGAGGAGGAGCCGCCAATAATCCCTGTTGCGGAGGAGGAGCCGGAGGAGGAGGAGGAGCAGAAGGAGGTGGTGCTGGTGGAAGATAAGGAGGAGGTGGCGGTGAAGGTGGAAGAGGAGGATGAGAAGAAGGATCTGATTACAAGAGCCTCAGACGGCTCGGAGGAGTCAAGCAGTGAAGTCCTTGCCCTTGAGGCTGCGGAGGTTAAACGTAGGAAACTTGGAGAACGCATCTTGCTTCAAGGTCAGACAACTTGCCATATATTGCTTCTTTTTTTTTTTTTTAAAGAACATTGCTCCTTGTTGTTTTCCAATTGTATCATTTTAATTTTTATTGCCATTTTGTACTTAATTTTAATCATCTTTTGCGTTTTTTAACACCTCTACTAAAATCTTATCATGAAGGATGTTTGAAAATCCGGTTCGAATTAGAGAAATAGACCGGATCAGACTAAAGTTAACCGGTTCGGTCTTAATTAAAATTGAAAATTGATCTTGTAGTGGGCCAAATATTGTTTAATACGGAGCACTTTGCATAATTTTTCTAAAATGTTTTAATCGACCTTTAATTTGTAACGAATATTTTTATATTATGAGTAATTTTATATAATTAGGCTTTCAAAATTTTGAATTAAACTATAATATATTTTCTAATTATTTTTTTCCTTTTTCATATATCATGGTAAACTTGTAAAGTTAATTAATTTAAAAAATAGAAAAAAATAATTCTAATATCAATTCAAATTAGTCTAATTTGGGTTTAGAATGGTTTCATCAGTCCAATTCATGTCTGTTTCTAGCAAAACCAGTTCAAGCTCTAGGTTTTTAATTTTCAAAATTTTTGTCTTGATCGAGTTTGATCTTGACCGCTTAGTCTTGAACTGTAGAACATCCCTAGTAATTATTGATTTATTGGTGGTCGGATTTTTCCGATCAACTTTCTTACAAAGGCACCGTTCACTTCACCGTAAAAAATAATATTTAGTAAAAATAATTTCAATTTAGTAAACATAATATCAATTCAGTAAAAATAAGTCCAATTCAATAAAAATTATTTTAATTCAGTAAAAACAGTAAATGTAAAGAAGAAATATAATAGAGATTCAATAAAAATAATTTGAGTTCAGCAAAATAATTTGAGTTCAGAAAAATAATTTCAGTTCAGTAAGATTAATTTCAGTTCAATAAAAATAATTTAAGTTCGGAAAAAATAATATCAATTTAGTAAAAATAAGGTGAAGTAAACGGGGCCTAAGTATAATTTTTCCTAAAGATATGTATTCTCCGTGTTCTTTATCGACACGTTTGTTATATGCAACTTCAATGTGTCTAATATATATATACACACACACTGTAAGAGATCTAATATTCTCACCATTTCATAACACAAAAATTTTTGTATGTGGCTGGCCATAGCCACAATTATTATTATTATTATTATTATTATTATTATTATTATTTTTTTAAAAAAAAAAAAATACCACAACTCTTCTCTCTCTCTTCTTTTCTTATCTTCTTCTCCAAACCATACATCACCAACAACCATATCTCTACTATACCCATTTTCTCTCTCCTTTTTTCTTAGCTTCTTCTTCAAACCAAACCACACATCACCAACAACCATATCTCTACTCCACCCATTTTTTCTCTCCTCTTTGCTAAATTGCTACAATTAAAGCCCGAAATTGTAGAAATTGGGTGGTAAATTGCTGTGAAAATTGTGATTAATTATCCTTAAAAATCATCAACAACATTTGAAGTAGTGAAATTGATGAGAACCAAAGAAATGTGAGCTCGTTTTCTTCGTGGAATCTTAGATCAAACATTCTACGTCCAAAATTGTAGGGTGTTACTAGTTTGGTTATGGGTACTTGTAGGTGTTACTGGTTTGGTCAGGGGTTACATGTAGGGTGTTACTAGTTTGGTCAGGGGTTACTGATTTTGTGATGGTGTTACTGGTTTGGTCAGGGGTTACATGTAGGGTGTTACTGATTTGGTCAGGGGTTACTTGTAGGGTATTACTGGTTTGGTGAGGGTGTTACTGGTTTGGTTAGGTTACTTGTAGGGTGTTGCTGGTTTTGGTCAGGGGTTACTTGTAGGGTGTTACTGATTTAGTTAGGGGTTACTTGTAGGGTGTTACTAGTTTTGCTCAAGAGTTACTCGTAGGGTGTTACTGGTTTGGTTAGGGATTGCTTGTAGAGTGTTACTAGTTTTGTTCAAGGGTTACTTGTAGGGTGTTACTGGTTTGGTATGGGGCTTACAAGTAACCGTTGAATAAGTAACAAGTAACCCTTGAATAAGTAATTCATACAAGTAACCTTTGAAGTAACTCATATAAGTAACCCCTGAATAAGTAACTCATTCAAGTAACCCCTGAATAAGTAACTCATTCAAGTAACCCCTGAATAAATAACTCATACAAGTAACCCTTGAATTAACCCATACAAGTAACCCCTGAAAAAAATACAACTAAATCTTGAAGAAAAAAAAATACAAGTAACTCTTGAAAAAAAAATACAAGTAATCCCTGAATAAGTAATCCATACAACTAACCCCTGAAAAAAAATACAAGTAACCCCTGAAAAAAAATACAAGTAACCCCTGAAAAAAAATACACAAGTAACCCCTGAATAAATAATCCATACAAGTAACCCCTGAAAAAAAATATACAAGTAACCCCTGAAAAAAAATACAAGTAACCCCTGAAAAAAAAATACAAGTAACCCCTAAATAAATAATCCATACAAGTAACCCCTGAAAAAAAAAATACAAGTCTTGAAAAAAAAAAATACAAGTAACCCCTGAAAAAAAAATACAAGTAACCCTGACAAAACCAGTAACCCCGTTATGCGAGTGAATAGTAACCCTGTTATACTGTGTAATCTGTTATTTTTACTGATTTGGCAGCAGGCCACACGGTGTGGCATGCTGCACCAAAAAAGCTCTGTTTCATAATATACATAATCTTTTCATTAGGAATCTTGGCACCATTCGGGTGACAAATAAAAAAAATCTTCCAAATTACTCTTTATATATAAGACATATATAATAATGATTTTGGATCTTATTTGATTCGTCTCAATAAACAAACTTTTTCGGTTTTAAAGTTGTGCCCATGCTTTTTCAAACGTTTAAGTTGTGCCCTCAACCTCAATAATTTTTATTAACAATAACCAATTTTTATTATTTTATTTCTGATTAAATTTTTTTTTTTAAAATGTTAAGCCAATTAGAACGAGATACGTGCCAAATTAATAACGCCACAATACCAATTGTTGATAAAAATAACTTAATTTTCGTTAACGGATATGGATGTTAAAGGATATTATTTGATAAAATATCGTGAGGTGGTGGAAGGCACAGTTTATAACTTTGAAAAAGCATGGGTACAACTTAGAAACCGAAGAACTTGGGGGGCATAGCTTAGAAAAACCAAAGAAAAAGCACTAAAAACTACCACCACTTTTACCCGACTCCCCTATATGACATCATGGTGGGTCTTACTAACCAATTTTCCTTCGAATTTCACCTTTCTTTTTCCCTAATCATGCTAATTAATCAATTATACCCTCAATTTTGCATTGTTGTTTGGCTTGAAGAACAAATTAAAAACCCTAAAAACGCCTAAATTGATATTAAAATTAGACTAAGAGGAAGAAGAAGAAAGAACAAAGATGAGAATAAGGGGAAATGAGAGGAACAATGTGTAATGGGACCTATCGTGACATCATATAGGGGAGCCGGACAAAAGGGAAAAGAGAGCGAGGAACAATGTGTAGTGGGACCTATAGTGACATCATATAGGGAAGCCGAGCAAAAGTAATGGTAGTTTTTAGTGTTTTTTTTTATAAAACTAGGGTCTTATTCTCATTAGATTATTTTCAGTTCAGTTCAGCTATAATAAGTTCAGTTCAGTTCAGCTCATAATTTCCTTCTCTCATAAAATATTCAGTTCAATTCAGTTCAGCTCTAATAAGTTCAGTTCAGCTCAGTTCAGTTAATGAGATCATGCCCTTGATGGTAAAATACAATAAAAAAATAAAAAATAAAAACTTGAGGTGGTATTGTACAAAATGACAACAATAGATGGTGGTATTTTTCGAATTTTACTTGAAAAAAAAAAAAGAATGACAAAAAGAATAGTAGCAAGAAAAAAAAAAGGGAGTGATTAAAGAATGAGACAAGAATAATTGCAAAAAAAAAAAAAAAAAAAAAAAAAAAGAAAAAAAAAAATCCATTCATTAGCACAAAAAAAATCCATTACATAGCGTAGTACAATGACATTATTACAACTTACAAGGCATAACAGCAATGTGAACTTTGTATACTCTGTGCATGTCTAAATGGTTTAGTGATCTTCCCTTAATGCAGGTGTGGATATGTGCTACTCTTTAGCAAATTACCAATTCATGGCGTTGATCACATTACTAACTGATAGTGATTACTGGTCTATAAATTTGTTTCATGCGGTCATAATAACAAATATTAATGAAGGAGCAAAACCACTGCTGGTGATTCTCACTGCTTGGCTTGCAGACACTTATCTTGGCGACTGCTGGACTCTTATAATCTCAGCTTTTTCATATGTTATTGTAAGTTTGATTAATTTACCTAAAACTTAACTGCATATATTTAAGGAAAAATTGATTTTATTAATCATATCCCATCTTTTAGCCATTCCCTTTTATTGATCCCAAATTTAGATTATTAGGATATGCTTGGATTGAAAGAGAAGTCTTATTAGGGTAACAAAAGTCAAACTAACCAAAATGAATTTGAAAATTGGGAAGCAGAATACAGTTGGTATTCTTGTAAGTTAAAATATGTAGCGATGGTGTGGTATGATCTATGATACGAAGAAAGTAGAACTAATACCCTCATTTTGGGAATAATAGTTACACTAAGGAAGGGGTGGGTAATTTATTACTCTCATCATGAGGGTTTCATCTCTCTCTCTTTATCGTGGCACAACTATCTTATTTCATGTGTTAACACTTTGTTTCCTACTGCTTTTTCAAATTTGAATTTTATTTCCCCCTGAATATATTACCCTCAATCCAAACATGACCTTATTAATAATCCCAACTTAATGATGAGAAATTGGTTTTTATAGGACCCAAATGACATATAACCTATTAAAGAGTTTCTTTTTTTTTTCAATCTAATGGACACATATCACCACGAGATTGATTAAAAAAAATACAAAATCCCAGCTCATCCATGCCACCCTCCCCACCCAACCCTCTAGCAGCCCCACCCTTTCATCACCCTTTGGCAACCCACCTCCAAACCCCAACAAAACTCCCCCATACCTAGAACCACCCTAATTCCCACCCCCTCTCCTCTCCCTAGTGTCCAATAGCCTCGAAAGCGCTTGGGAGGGGAGATGGATGGTTTTCAGGGTGGGGGAAAGAGGAGGGGGTGGTTTTTGGGGGTGGGGGAGGAATTGGGGTGAACCTGGGAACGGGGGCAGTTTTGGTTGGTGGGGGTTTCGGTAGTGGGGGTGTGGATGGGCTACCATAGGGTGGGGCTACCAGAGAGTTGGGTGGGGGTGACGTGGGTGCAGTGGCGGATCCAGGAATTTTAAGTAGGGGTAACATTTAGCCATTAAGCAATAAGAGAAAAAAGGGTAAAAACGAGTTATTACATATATTAGCGTTAATTAGCCTTTAAATTTTTAAGATTTGTTTTGTTTAATCAATTTTCATTTTACAAATATGGAACTATGTATATGTATGGTAAATTATACTACTATGTACTATAAATTTTCTAAATATGTGTATTGAAATAAAAGTGCAATAAATTGGGAAGAACTAGTTTAATTATACTACTACCCCTTGTGCCTTCTTAGATCCGCCATTGCGTGGGTGAGCTAGTTTAATTTTTTTAATAGTATTTCTTTTCTTTTTTTTACTACTACATGATGATACATGACTATTAACCTTCTATAATAGGTAGGATGACCAGTTGGGACAAATAAAAGCAATTATATACCCTATAAAATTCGAATGTAAATAATAATTCAAAGTTAGAATACTTAAAATCGAATGGTTCAATGTTAGGATTACAATATTAAAAAAATAATATAAAAAAATTTCCTACATTTAATTGCATATTATTTTCATTAACAAATTTAAGTCATCAATTGCCTATAATTTCGTAAAAGTCAGTTGTTGTACTTTGAAAAATAAAAAGAGAGAGAGAGTGTGTGAGATCATTTTATACATAGTAGGTTAGTCCCGTGCAATGCACTGTTAAAGCAATAAAACTCTTAGCTTGCTCTTATGTGCATAATATAAATAATATAAGAAAAAATATATTTAATAATTATCTATCTTATTAGATAAATTGAGCTAAAATTTTAAAAAAAAATATGATGTTAAATATTCTAATAAACTTCATAATTAAAATAAAAATATATGAAACGCTAACATTATTATATCAGTTTAGTGGTTTTTTTCATTAAATTTTTTTTTAATAAAGAGTACAAATTTTAAACTCATGCAATCATCACGGATAAAAATGCAGGAAAAAATATCTATATGGGAGGAGGAAAAAAAAAAGGAAATCAACCAATACGTATAGTACTATACAAACGGATTAAAGCAGAAAGAACAGAGTATATAATAATAAAGAAAATCATGAATATATAATAGAACATATAATTGAAATATAAAGAACACAACATTTTATGAGATCCAAGTTTTGTTAAAAAAATGTAAAAGATAATTATTAATTGAATTTTATCAATAAGTAAATGTTAAATCATTTAAAAATATTCAGAATTCAAAAATTTCTCTGTTCACAAAAATATAATTCAAAATTTCAATCTTGAATTTTAAAAATTCAAAATATAAGAACATATTATATAAGTAAAATGAACCTAATTTGTATTATATAACCAAAGAACATGATCAATTTATATAGCTTAAAGAACATTGTTTGTAATATAATGAACATATAATTTAGACTCAAAGAACATATTGATGAGAATAAAAAAAACATATTTCATTGCAATTATAAAATGATAAAAGAACATTAACATCATCTTTAACCTTAGAAAATAACACTAAAACAAATAAATAAATTTAAAAAAAAATCAAAAATACCTTTTTTTCTCAACAAATGATTTGTTAATTACATCTTTCAATTAAATGATTCATCGAAACGATAAAATCAACCCCATAACAACATTAAATCAATTCGAAATTCAAAATTTACAATGATTTCTCTCTCTATTAACTTAATTTCTCTCTCTTAACCAAAAAAAATGAAAATTTGACATCTTGTTTATTAAAAGTAATATGGAACATAATTTAAATAATAAATCTACTCTATAAATCAAGGAATACAAATAATAAATCAATCCCTTTAACTCAAAGAAAGAATCGTTTTGTTTTGTTTTTTTTTTTACTCGTGTACTTTGTATTTGCACAATGTTCTTTCCACGCGTTTTTATAACTCGTGTATTTTGACCGGATGGGTGTATGGTAAAATTTTCAACGGGGGTTGGTGATGTGGTTCCTAAACGGCGTTAATTATCTTACAATCCTAATTTTAGTTTTAAAACGTACAGGGGATGCTGATGTGGTTCTTGGCTTTGAGGTACTTGGCGAATGGGAACTTGGATATTATTTTTAAAGGCTTATTTACTGCGGGACTACTGTTGATATTGTTTGGGCAATGTGGTTATGAAAATTACACCAAAGATAATATAAAGTTTGTTTTAGAGCTGAAAATTAACCAAGAAGATGGAAAGGATCAATCTGTTTCATCCTACAAACTAAACAAAGCATTGAAGACACTTAGATTACTATTTTTCCAAAGGTATTGGATAATTGTAATATTTTTTGGTATTGCGATTTTAATGGATTATCTGATTCATGATATTAAATTGGAACTGTTGATCGTGTTTATAATGCTGGGAGTAACTGTGCTATTCAATTTGGGAAAGCAATACTCGTATATCTGTTCTTGTAAGGAACCTATGGGAAGCCCGCTCTCTGCGATTTTCAATGTATTGTTGGTTGCATTCAAGAAAAAGAATGATAACAGTGGGACACTAGAATACACTGCAGGAGCTAATCGTGAAAATGGTGCCAATGCTCATCAGAAGCTTACAAATCGATATAGGTAATCCTCTCCACTTTTATATTATTCTCTTATACAAACTAATCAATATTAATTACTCCCTCCGTTCCTAAATTACATTCCTCCTTTCTATTTTTGGTAAAAAAAAATTTGTAAATCAACTCTCTTTTTCTGTTTTATATTTAATGCTTTCTCACTCATCCTTACCTAATCTCACTCATAATCCTTGTGCCAAATTACAATGAATATTATTAGTTAAAAATTTTTAATTAGGAGCATGTGATTGGTCCTTATTTTTTGCAAAGGATTGATGATTTGTCATGGGTAATAACTAATCTATCTTTGTACTTCCCATAGCATTATCTAATTATTGTTATTTGTCTTATTCTTCCCTCCTTAATTCCGTGTAAATTTCCAAAGAGGAATGTAATTTAGGGATGGAGGGAGTAGCTTTTATTTGCTTGTATACGCTAAATCCTACTAGGGTTGTTCAATTTCGAATATCCGATCCGATCCGGATCGGAGAAATTGCGAACCGAATCCGATCCGAAATTTTCGGATCGGATAGTCGGATATTCGGATCGGATAGTCGGGTTTCGGATCGGATAGTTAAAATTTTCGGACAAAATTCGATCCGTATCCGATCCGAAAATATGAAATTTATTTCGGATATCCGATCCGAAATATCCGAAACCTTGAAAATCGGATCGGATATCCGAAATTTTGGATCGGATCATCTGATTTTCGGATCAAATATTTCGGACCGGATATTTTTGAACACCCCTAAATCCTACCACCCACCCTGAAGCAATTGGGAAGCAGTTCAACCCCTAATGGAAAGCGGTTTTGAACTGCTTGTGCTTAGAATCTAGAAGTGTATTGAGATCCTAATGGGAAGCGGTTTTGAACTGCTTGGGCTCGAAATCTAAAAGTGTATTAAGATCCTAATAGGAAGCGGGTTTGAACCGTTTGGGCTTGAAATGTAGAAGTGTATTGAGATCCTAAGGGAAAATGGTTTCGAACCGCTTGGGCTTGGGGGCATCCCATTACCCTGTAAATGGGAAGCATACTTCTCTTTCTTGCATCTCTTTGGATGCAGGAAATACCAATTAATAAACAATTTTGTATTAAATTTGGGTCCCACTATTGTTGATTTATTTACGAAAATGTCATAATGACTGGACATATATGTTGTTTTATTTACCATTTTGTCATTTGATACACAAATTTTGTTTATCAAATTGATTAACTGGGACTACCTCGGATGGATGGGAGATAACCTGGGAAGGGGTGGCTAAGGATTTAGGGGGGTGGAGAGGAGTGGTTGAGTGTTTCAAGGCGAGGGTCAAAATTTGTATACTTTAAGGTGGGTTCTGACATTTCTTTTTATTTTTGAATTTTGAAATGATGGTAGGTGCCTGAATAGAGCAGCAAAGTATGATCCATCACTTGAGAATATTGAATTGGAATTTGAAAAAAGGAAACTTTGCACTGTCCAGCAAGTGGAGGACACAAAACTTTTCATCGGATGCATTTGTTTGTCATGGGTGTTCTTGATGTATGGTGTAATGACTGCTACAGGGGATACGTTCTTTAATGAACAAATATATGATATGAAACCAGAAATTGGCAAATTTAAAGTGCCAATCCAGATATTTGTATTCATTTCAGATGCTATTCGAGAGCTTGTGAGCAGTATTTGGCAATGGATATTGGCTAATAAAGATGAAGCGACACAGAAAAGATTTCACGGCACACTACGAGTGGGACTAGGAATGATGCTTTCGGTTCCTTGTTTTGTGATAGCATACATAGTTGAGGCCAAATCACTCAAGAAAAGAAAACAAACTGACGAAACAATTAGTGTATTGTGGCTGACTCACCAACTGATTTTGATAGGAATCATGGATGGGCTAGTTGGTAATGGCATTGATTGTTTTTTTAAACAAGAAATGCCTGGCTCAATCGCTGGACCATATGGTAGTATGCTCGGTAAAAGTATCGTGGGCACGGGGAAGCTACTCGGCATAGGATGGTTTTGCTTCTGGTACTACGTTACAGGTGGTAACAAGCACGGTTGGTTTGGACAAGATATAACACAAAGTCATCATCTTGATTATTACTATGCGACTATGGCTGCATTTGGGTTTGTCAGTTTTGTTGTATATGTCTTGGTTGCATTGGTGAACTCTCTTACTCACAAGCGACTGTTACAAGAACGCTCTTCTGATGATGTACAAAGCATACACTTGCCCTCCCGAAAGCTAAGCAAATTACAGGTTAGTGAATCGTTGCGACTACGCACTTCTGCAAACCGATCAAGTTCTGTGACTGATTGACTAGTTAATAGCTCGCTATGTATCACCCCTCGCGGCCTAGCATAAATGTACTATAGCTTTCGTGTAATGTCCCCTGTTTAAAAGAGTATTAAGCATATATTCCTAGGCGTTACTCGTCATCTTTTGGTTGAGTTGGTTCGATAACAATGTTGGATTGATTTATGCTTTCCCTGATATTGTTTTATATCAAAACTAGTATTCGTAAGTAAAAAAATACTTACTTTTCACTACCTTTCTCGTGATTCTGGTCTCAATTAAAAGTATAAATGGAATTATAAAAAGACAAAAAGAAAAAGGAAAAAAAATTGGATCGAGTAGCATTTAAACAAATTCATGTAGAAGGGAGTAATCTTAACACAAATCATCCAGCAATTCTTAATAAAAAAAAAATTAAAGTATGTAGATACTTGGTATTACATATACACCCTTCTTCAATTCTTTGTAAAACCTATTCGAATGCAATTCTAATTACTGTGAAGATATTACAGATATTTGATTTTCTCATTTCCTCATCCTAGTCAGTTTTCCATGTCATCAATTTGTTTTAACAAACTTTATTGTAGTAACTACCTATATATAGCTTCCTCTCTGTATTTTGCTGACAATTAATGAGAATAATAATATCTTCTACCTAATTCTCTTTCTCTCTCTATCCTTCTCTCTCTATAATTCCTGTGCTACTCTTCTGGAAGATTTTTTTCGCCATTGATGGAAGCTTGAGCTTCTTTGAGCAGAAGCTAATCAGGTGCAACTAGCACACTTTATCATGGTATCAGAGCGGGTGAGCTCGCTTCTCGATCTTTTTTGAAGTTTTGTTTCTGGATGTTTTCGTTTGATTGCTATTTGTTGCGTTTTCTTATCGATTCTGTTGATTGCTGTAAATCGATTCTTCGATTGCTTTCTTAAGCTTGTTCAGTTGTTTTTCTGGAAGTTTTGGTATATCTTTGATCGGATTTCTTGAATTTGGAGATTTTCTGGCTTGATTAGCTATTATTGAGTGATTTCAATTGGATGAGATTGTTTTGAATCGATTGAAGTTGTTGATTGTTCTGTTCTTCGATTTGCTGGACTATATTTGGATTTTCTTTTATCCTGAGTTCATCTTCATACCTAAAATGCCTGAAACAAACACTCTTACTCTCACTAAAGATCCTTCAAGTGTTTATTTTATACATCCTTCTGAAAATCCAGCTAATTCACTAGTTACTGATAAGTTCAACGGCGATTGTTACAATGAGTGGAAGAGAAGTATGGTTATTGCTCTTTCTGCTAAGAATAAATTGAGTTTTATTGATGGCACTCTGTTGATGCCTACATCAGGCTCAGAGGTTCAGGCTTGGGATTGTTGCAATGCAATGATCACAAGTTATATTCTACATTCAGTGGATAGCAACATTGCTCGCAGTGTTTTGTACTTTACCTCAGCTAGAGAGATATGGTTAGATTTGGAGGAAAGGTATTCTCAGAGCTCAGGACCTCAGTTGTTTACTCTTCAGCAAACATTGAGTGATTTGTCTCAAGGATCTAGTACTGTTGCTGAATTTTTCACTAAGATAAAGGCAGTTTGGGATGAGATAAATGGTGTGAATCCCATTCTTGTGTGTACATGTTCTGGTTGTAATTGTAATCTGACTCAGAAGATTGTGAAACAGCAACAAGAAGAGCGTTTAGTACAGATGTTGATGAAGCTTGATGGCAAGTATGCTGCAGTAAGGACTAATATTCTCATGATGCAACCTCTGCCAAACGTTTCAGTAGCTTCAAGCTATTGATGCAGGAGGAGAAACAAAGGCAGGTTACTATGATAGATGATAGTAAAAATATGGCTTTCTCAGCAGATGCTAAAAGATTTTCTCAATCTTTCTCAGCTAGGCCTTCAGGAAACTACAGGTTTCAACAGGGTCAACAAGGTCAAGTTAGGCCTTATTCTAGTAACAACAATTTTGCTCCTGCACCAAAGAGAAACTTCAATTTGTTCTGTACCCACTGCAAAATGTCTGGACACACAATAGAAAAATGCTTCAAGATACATGGATATCCTCCAAGCTTTGGACAGAACAAGTTTAAAGGGAGGAAAATTGCAGCAATTGACTATGGAGATGAGGAAACTAGTGATGATCACAACAACAATGAGCCTGCACAAATCTCTTTGGGACAGTACAATCAATTCTTGCAACATATCAATCATGAAGAATAGACTGCAAGTGCTCAGGATACTGTATTTACAACAGCATCAGCACATGTAGCAGGTACCTGTCTTCTCACTTGTTTCAATACAAGGTGGATTATTGATAGTGGTGCTACAGACCACATGTGTTCCTCTCTAGATTTGTTTGATTCTTATCACAAGTATGATAAATATCCTAACACCATAATTGTTGCTGATGGAAAACAAGTGATTGTTGAGCACATTGGAAATGTGACATTTTAAAATGGCATTGTTCTTAAGAATGTCCTTCATGTTCCTAGATTTCATTTTAACTTAATATCTACTCACAAGCTATGCAAGGATCTTGGCTGTGATATTAAGTTTACACATGACACTTGTGTGATTCAAGATCCAATCAGGAACTCTTCCCTGGTTCTTGGTAAGCTGGAATCAGGACTTTATGTTGTAGAAGATGGAAATAAGGGTGTTCAGCTATAAGACAACCAAGTCTGGTATGATTTCTGTCTCTAGCTTAGAAGAAGCCAAACTTTGGCATTTAAGACTTGGTCATATGCCTTTCAATAAGTTGCATTATGTGAAACCTCATTTCTCTTGCAATATAGAACATGACAGTATCTGTCAAGTTTGTCCTAAGGCTAGACAACCTAGGCTGTCATTTCCTAAGAGTAGTTCTAAGTCATCTACTTGCTTTGAACTTTTACACATTGATACTTGGGGACCTTATAAGCTAGCAACTCATGATGGTTTTAGCCTTTTTCTTACTATTGTTGATGATTTTTCAAGAAATACTTGGACATTTCTGATGAAAAATAAGTCAGATGCTGCAAGGGTTATGGAAAATTTTGTTGTTCTTGTCCAAAATCAGTTTAATGCTCATATAAAGACTGTTAGATCAGAAAATGCCAAGGAGTTGTGTGAGGGAGATATGTTGCTATTTTATCATAAATATGGCATTTTACACCAAAAAAGTTGTACAGACACACCTTAGGAAAATGGTGTAGTTGAAAGAAAGCATAGACACTTGCTTGAAACAGCAAGGGCATTATTTTTTCAGTCAAAGGTTCCTACCTACCTCTGGGGAGAGTGTTTACTTGCTTCCACTCATCTTATAAACAGGATGCCTCTGAGTGTTATTGGCTTTATTAGTCCCTATGAGAAACTCTTTGATGCAAAACCCAATGTTGATCATTTGAGGGTTTTTGGTTGTTTGTGTTTTGCATCCACTGTCAAAGCTCACAGAACAAAGTTTGATGCTAGAGCCACACCCTGCATCTCGATAGGATATCCACCAGGACAAAAGGCTTATAAGCTTTTTGATTTGGACACTAAAAAGATTTTCATCTCTAAGGATGTAATCTTTCATGAGAAGCACCTACCCTTTCATTTTTCATTATCACCTACAAATCCTAAACCCATTTTCTTACCTGCTTCTACTCCTTTAACATTTGACATTGGTTTTCCAATACCAGAACCTTTCATTCTCAATACAGATTTGGATTCTGAGTCCATTTTTCATATTCCCTCTCCATCTCAAAGTCCACATCCAAATATCACACCCTCAAACACTTCCCACACTTCAGATTCAGACACATCCCAATCCACAAACCAACACACAAACCGAAACCCAGACCTAAACACATCTCAAACCATACCTCAGATACCTGATCCAAGTCCTGCTCCTGTCAGACAATCAAGTAGACCAACCAAACAACCATTCTGGATGATCAATTATGTTAGCAATATTGCCTCTCATTGGTGTAATTTGGTCATGTCAGATCAAATTCCACACTCACACTTTGCTTTATTCAGTCATTTAAATAATCTCTCAGAACCTATAAGCTATTTGGAAGCTTCTCAGCATCAAGAATGGGTTGATGCTATGTAGAAGGAACTTCAGGCACTTAAAGCTAATGAAACTTGGGATTTGGTTCTTCTTTCTAAAGGAAAAAAGGCAATAGGATGCAAGTGGATTTATAAAATAAAGCTCAAAGCAGATGGATCTATTGAGAGGTTCAAGGCAAGGCTAGTAGCAAAGGGTTTCACTCAAAGATATGGGATTGACTTTGAGGAAACTTTTTCCCCTGTAATCAAAATGGCAACAGTTAGATGTCTTCTTCTTTAGCTGCTAGCAAGGGTTGGGAATTGCATCAGCTTGATATCAACAATGCCTTTCTCCATGGGAATTTGATAGAAGAAGTGTATATGCAAGTTCCAGAAGGGATTCCTAATCCTAATGGTCTTGTTCGCAAGCTCAAAAAGTCTTTGTATGGACTAAAACAGGCCTCTAGACAGTGGTATGCAAGACTGAATTTTGAGTTGTTGTCCCTGGGATTTACTCAGTCACTCAATGACTATTCTCTCTTTCTAAAGAAGTCGGATTCTCATATCATTATTGTGGCTGTCTATGTGGATGATATCATCCTTACAGGAAATGACACTGCTGGGATTTTGGATCTTAAGGCACATCTGCATCAAGTTTTCAGTATAAAGGATTTGGGGAAACTGAATTTCTTTCTTGGGATTGAAGTTTGTCACATTTCTCAAGGAATTATTTTGACTCAAAGAAAGTTCACTAAGGAACTTTTACAAGAGTGTGATTTTGATGTTTCTAAGACTGCAAAAACACCTCTGCCTGCTAGTGTCAAATTATTTGCAGACTATGGTGATTTTTTTCCTGATCTTGTCCAATACAGGTGCTTAGTTGGGAAACTAAACTTTCTCACACATACAAGACCAGACATCTCTTATGCTGTGCAGACCCTCAGTCAGTTTTTACAGCAACCAAGAATGCCTCATCTTCATGCTCTTCAACATGTTATGAGATATATTGCAGGAACTATTGGTCAGGGCATATTATTGCTTGCTAATGAACAACTGAAACTGCAAGCTTATTCAGATTCTGATTGGGCAGCTTGTCCCAATTCTAGGAGATCAGTTATAGGGTACATTATGCTTTTGGGTAACTCTCCTATATCTTGGAAGTCTAAGAAGCAAGGTACTACTTCCAAGTCTTCCTCAGAGGCTGAGTATCGAGCCATGGAAGCAGCCTCTTCAGAGATATGTTGGCTGGTTAGACTTCTGCAAGAACTGGGAGGGCTCAATTTGTTGCATGTTGAGCTGAACTGTGATAATCAAGCTGCAATACATATAGCCAAGAATCCAGTCTTCCATGGGAGGACTAAACACATAGAAATTGACTGTCATTTTACCAGAGAAAAGGTTCTTGCAGGTATGATTCAGTTGTCTCATGTTCCCAGTCATGAGCAATTGGCTGATTTGTTCACTAAAATTCTGCCAATCCAACAGCATGCTGAGCTCTGTTCCAAGCTAGGACTGATTGATTCTCAATCACCCACTAGCTTGAAGGGGGGTATTACAGATATTTGATTTTCTCATTTCCTCATCCTAGTCAGCTTTCCATGTCATCAGTTTGTTTTAACAAACTTTATTGTAGTAACTACCTATATATAGCTTCCTCTCTGTATTTTGCTGACAATTAATGAGAATAATAATATCTTCTACCTAATTCTCTTTCTCTCTCTATCCTTCTCTCTCTATAATTCCTCTGCTACTCTTCTGGAAGATTTTTTTCGCCATTGATGGAAGCTTGAGCTTCTTTGAGCAGAAGCTAATCAGGTGCAGCTAGCACACTTTATCAGAAGACATGCCTTAAATATCAAGTTATCATCATTTAAAAAGCATACCAATAGGCATGTCATCAATCCCTCGAACCAAAGCTAGCATCATCACTTTCGCCATCAACGAAAGATCTCATGATCAATTCAAGTAATTCCATTGACTTGGAATATTTCAAAGGTCGAGTCATAAGCTCCCTTAACATATTCATCAGAATAAGCTTCATCATCTATTGCAAGAACCCACTGTCCAAGTTCTCCCTTGGGAAGATCATTGCGGGAGATAAGTCCATCATTATCGACGTCGAGCATCTTCAATTTTTCATCGGTGCATTTGTAAAAAGCCTCAGTGTCTTCAACAAATTTGTTCATCATTGTACCATCTATGATGCATCATCATCTTTTTACCAAAGTGTTGAATAATACCTGAAAAAAAAAGTACTAAATAAGTTTAAATACTAGTTCTACTATATCGTTGCATGTGATAAATTCATCAACATATATATATATATATATATATATATATATATATATATATATATATATATATATATATATATATATATATATATATATATAATTGTAGAGACACTTTTCACCAAAAATCCTCCAAAACTCAAATGCTCAACTCTCATGCATTTAAGGTTTTTTTTAAAAAAAAAATAAAAAATAAAAAATAAAAAAAACTACCTATCCAACAACTTTATTTTTATTTATTTTTTATCTTTTTTAAAAAAAAAAACAATAACTACCCATCCAAGAGTATACAGTTCCTTTATCAACAATTCACTATAACACTCAAAATCTCCAACATTTCACTTTTTTAAAAACAATATGTACTAACATTTCACTTTGTTTTACGAGTATTTTTTGGTACATAGTATAATATATGTCATGCATTAGCACGAATATACAGTTCCTTTATCAACAATTCACTATAGTACTCTTAATCCCCAACCCTTCAATTATATGCATTTTTTAGGCACTACCCTCTCTAAACAATTTCCACTTCTCTTATCATCAAAAAAAAAAAAAAAAAAAAAAGTACAACACATAATTGCGCAACTGGCCTCGTCGAATAACTATTTGCAACAGATTAAAGTATATAACTCTTAGAGCAAGACATGCACTAACCAATATGACACTACCCGAGTAACCCCTATAACACTAAACGGGTAACCTCTATAAATTTGACAAAGTAAACCCCATAATATCTAGCTACATTGCGTTGCCACCGACATAAAAGAGTTATAATCGAATAGTGTCTCCCCAAAACCAAACCCGGTGATGAGTACCTTTCACGTCGAATCATAATCGAATGAAGTGAAAGTGTGGAAAGTCTAGTGTTGCGGATAGTTTTAATTTCTTTTCTTTTCTCTTCTCTCTATTTTTGAAAACTTATTTTAAGAAAACAGTCAATCCAGTTTGGTTGGTCCATGATATGGGTCTAATAGTAGTGTAGTTGGATGGGGCTTGACAAGAGCTTTCCAACAATATATGATAAGCCCAATTCCGATGAATATTAAGGAAGTTATGGCCTAAACTGGACCCGGTTTGAGCCTTATATGCGGCTCAATGATCTAGGGGAGGGCCTAATATGATTTATCATTCCTAATGCAATTAGGAATGGTTTTAGTCTTCTAGATTCTTCTAGAAGGTTCTTTTCATTCCTAATTCAATTAGCATTGATAAATTGACTTTTGTTGACTTTTCAGAGTTTTAATTAAAATCAAATAGCATTTTTTATGAAAATATACGATTTTATCCTCCTATACGGTAAAACTTATCTGATTTGAGAAAGCGCGTCAAAAAAGGCCTGGCGCCTGACTCCAGGCATTGGCGCTTAGAGCTGGGGCCTGACATTAGCGTCTGGCACTAGTGCTGGTGCCTGGCGCCAGTTAGCCAGGGTTGGCGTCAGCTCTGTTTTTCGTGCGCCAATACTCTGTTTTGTTATTTTTATCTTTTTGGCTGATTTTCTCTGTAAATAACGTCGTAAAAACTCCGTTTTCATTCATCAACAATCAGTTTTAATTAATATTCACCTACAATCAGTTTTCATTCACAATCATTATTTCTCTAATTCTCTCTTAATCATTCACCAATTCCAATTCTCACCAACACTCATCAAGATTTTCTTGATTATTCTCTCTCTTTATTTTCTAAACTAGTCTTTTACATACAAAATTCCGCAGTCATTAGATCTAGAAACACCTAGCCATATTCGAAGTTGCCTTCGCCCTAGACGTGAAAGGTTTAATTTCTGAGGGTTTGGTCCCAAATCTCTATTTCAATTATTTAATTTAATTATTGTTTATTATTTTCCTTGAAGTTACTAACGTGTGTATTTTGTTATTAGAAAGAGGTACGAAACATCAAAGTAAGTGCTTTAATTGATTTATTGATATTATGATGTAGAAATCATGTTTAAATTGTTATTATGATATTCCTAGTATCATGTCTAGGGTAATTTTAATATTAAATATGATTGTTACGATGCTTCCTATTTTCATCCTAATATTTATGATTGTTAGTATCATGTTAGGGTTAAAGATTTGATTTTTTATTGCTTAGTGAGATGCTAGGGTTTGTTATTAATCTTGTTAGTATCATGTCCAAGATCTTGCTATTATTATTATGCTTTAATATTAACATGAATATGATTATGATTATAATTGTTATAATTTATGATGATTATTATTATTATTATTTTGATGATGATTATTTATGATGATATTATTATTATTATTATTATTATTATTATTATTATTATTATTATTATTATTATTATTATTATTATATTCATGATTATTTATCCTTTGTTGCTTGATATTTATTCTTTATTGCTTGACCACGCCTTTTATGCATGTTAAAGGGAATTTGTACTTGTAATCACGCTTAATAAGATATTTAATAATCTTTTTAGGGTTAATGTGATTATAATTCAAGTGATCGCCAATAATAGTTTATTTGTGCATTAATATTCAACCAACATAGATTAAACAGGTTTAGGGTTAACCTATTGATTGCATGTTAATCAGAAAGCGCACATGAATACGATCAGAATAAAGTAGAGGCCTATTATTAGGGCGGATTCAATCTCTTTTAGGTTGGATTTGTACCTTCATCCCCGAACCCTTATTTGGTTCATGACCTTATGGAGTTGACGATCTCTTGGATCGTTAAGGGGTGTAACCTTCACCTCGTGAACGGTTTACAAGTTCCTTAAAAACTTGTCGGCGACTCTTTTGCTCTATCTTCTTCCCTTTTGGACGCTACCGTACTTTAGTGTATGATCACAGTGGGGTTCAAGCTAGTGGGATTTTTAAGGCTTGAAATTATTCCCTACAGCAGGTTCAATCTCTTTTAGGTTGGATTTGTACCTTCATCCCCGAACCCTTATTTGGTTCAAGACCTTATGGAGTTGACGATCTCTTGGATCGTTAAGGGGTGTAACCTTCACCTCGTGAATGGTTTACAAGTTCCTAAAACTTGTTGGCAACTCTTTTTCTCTATCTTCTTCCCTTTTGGACGCCACCGTACTTTAGTGTATGATCACAGTGGGATTCAAGCTAGGGGTTTAACGCTTGAAATTTATTCCCTACACCCGTGCATTAGCACGGGTACATTCTAGTATATTATTAGGGCAGATTCAATCTCTTTTAGGTTGGATTTGTACCTTCATCCCCGAACCCTTATTTGGTTCATGACCTTATGGAGTTAACGATCTCTTGGATCGTTAAGGGGTGTAACCTTCACCTCGTGAACGGTTTACAAGTTCCTTAAAAACTTGTCGGCGACTCTTTTGCTCTATCTTCTTCCCTTTTGGACGCTACCGTACTTTAGTGTATGATCACAGTGGGGTTCAAGCTAGTGGGATTTTTAAGGCTTGAAATTATTCCCTACAGCAGGTTCAATCTCTTTTAGGTTGGATTTGTACCTTCATCCCCGAACCCTTATTTGGTTCTAGACCTTATGGAGTTGACGATCTCTTGGATCGTTAAGGGGTGTAACCTTCACCTCGTGAACGGTTTACAAGTTCCTAAAACTTGTTGGCAACTCTTTTGCTCTATCTTCTTCCCTTTTGGACGCCACCGTACTTTAGTGTATGATCACAGTGGGATTCAAGCTAGGGGTTTAACGCTTGAAATTTATTCCCTACACCCGTGCATTAGCACGGGTACATTCTAGTATATATAATTGTATAGTACGTTATTGAGGTTTCTCCAAAACCTCAATCCTCAATTCCCATGCACTCCCATTTTCTCTCTTTTTTTTTTTTTAATTTTGGGCACTATCCTCAAATAACTTCCACCTTTATATATATATATATATATATATATATATATATATATATATATATATATATATATATATATATATATATATATATATATATATATATATATAACTTCTACTTCTACTATGTTTTTTACTTCATACTATCCATTTTACTCAATATTACAAAAACAATAATAATAATAAAATAAAATAAAATAAACCCAAAAAATTACCTGTTTTAATATACCATCCAATATTTTGCTTTTAGAAGCCCCAAAATTATAACAAATCTATATTATTATTTTACATTTTTTCCTAACTTTTCCGCATAATAATACCTCAAAATCAATCTTTAAATTATGTATACTTCATCCTTAAAAAAATATCAACTGTTTTCTTTTATATTTAATCACTCAATCACCACAATTTTATTAATTCAATAACTATCAAAATCAAAATAGCACATTTTCTATT